CTCGTTGTCGGCCCCCACTTTGCCCAGCTCGTCGATTCAAACAATATCAAGCCTGTATCTAGACATGCCAAGCTGTCTCGCTGAAGACGAGTAAAACACGGATGTAACTGGCGTTGGCAGACATGTCCGCATGCGATTCGGGACCTCTTTTGAGTCTGTACCGACGCATCTTCCCCTCATACACAATATTTGAGTCTTTTATGTTGCTATGGTCAAAATTTAGAGACATCAATTTAAAACTCCCGTTTATTACGGAACTCTACTTTTAAATATTACTTTTTAAGAGCTTAGATGTCATATCTAAGCGTCTTTCATGGTCTATGTGAGCGTAAGCGAAAGTGTCTGCTGCATGGTGAGTCGGTTTTCTTACGAACAATATGTGATCAGCGTCAAAGCGTCCTGGGTATGACGATAAATTACATCCGGCATCAAGGCCACTCATCGGGAGCTTTTGAGGCGCGTGAAACCACCTCTTAATTTAATTTGTTTCCTACACTGATCCGGGCTGGTAGCACCTGTTAGGGTCCCAGGTATGGGCAAATAGTTAATAAGAATACACATTCTATTCAGAGTCTGTCTATATTTCCTCAAGGACACATGGCACAGTGGATAAAGGTGTTGGTTAGATCCAGTGACAGACCCAAAGAAGGTGATTTCAATACCCGGTTAAGGCAGTGGAGAACTTTCAGAGGGAAATTAGCAGGAGATAACTGATAACTGTCATCCATCAAACATGGCACGTGGAACTAGAACAGTCTACCCCAGTGATCGAAATAAAGGGTTCAGTTCGAAATTCCAACCACCTGAAAAAGACCGGAGCGTACAACGGCCGAAACGTTGTGACAAATATGGCGACAAAGATGAGGACAATAGTCCGACTAATGTAAATACTACACATTCTATTCATATGAACCTATCCTAAAAAACTTGTCGGCATCAAATAATCCATTTAGGTCGATGTGCCGTAAGACAAACCAAACCTAATCCAAACCAAACCAAACCAAACCAAAAATACATCAATGAAGCCAGACTCTCGACAAAAACCTTCTTCACAAAAAAGGTCAACGAAACCTTATCTACAGATTTTTTTTTATAAAGAATACACTTTTTACTCATATGAACCATTCCTAAAACGCCTCTCGGCATTAAATAATGCACTGAAGTCGATATGTTGCAAAATAAAATAAACCAAAACAAACCAAGAAAACAACAATGAATCAAGACTTTCGGAAAAACCCTCTATACAAAAAAGGTCAATGAAAACTGATCTACAAACTGATGTAATAGAATATCCAGTCACCCCCATGAAAGATCAAACTATAGGTAGCAAATGCCTATAAAATCAACCGGCTACAAGAGATTAGAGAGAGAGATTAGAGAGAGAGAGAGAGAGAGAGAGAGAGAGAGATTAGAGAGAGAGAGAGAGAGAGAGAGAGAGAGAGAGAGAGAGAGAGAGAGAGAGAGACGACAACGACGCAAGCACGTCCGACTTTCCGCTTAGTGGCACCCATTACTAGATTGACCTGTGTGTATAACTGTAACGTGTTTCCTATTGTACTTGTGTACAATAACCGTTTCTTCTAATATCCACCTGGTATTATGTTGTTTATTCCCGTAGCACGGAATATAACAGTGGCGAAACGAACTCACACGGAATATAACACAAAGAATACACATCCAGTTCCTATTCTTTCAAAGAATACACATTCTCTTCATATTCTTACAAAGAATACACATTTTGTTACCATTCTTACAAAGAATGCAAATTTTGTTCATATTCTTACAAATAATACACATTCTCTTCATATTCTTACAAAGTATACGCATTCTGTTCCTATTCTTACGAAGAGTACACATTCTGTTCACATTAACCTATCCTAAAACACTTGTCGGCATTAAATATCCTAAAACACTTGTCGGCATTAAATAACCCATTGCTGTTGATACATCGTAAAACAAAAAATACCAAACCAAATTAGAGTCAAAGTAGGAACTATATCCTCGGAGATTTAGTCCAAACTGGATAAGTCAAGAGTTCGAGATGTTGATGTCAATAATCGGTTTTGTTACTCTATATTTTTCATGCCATGTGATCCGATGAGAAAATTGCTACTATTGCTATTACCATAAAATTTACTCTGGCTGCATTATATCTTTTTCGTTTGGGCTACATCCGGTTTTCAATTCAAAATTGCCTTTCTCCTAGACTGGTTGCTAACTACGGCTAGAACTCTCAGATTTCGCTGTTATTTAACCCATAGCTGGGAGAGAGCAATGATGGATACCTTTTACAAAGTTATTTCTGCAAAAGTGAATGTAACTAGTTTGACCGGAATTCGAACTTAAGAAGCCGATTCCCCGTTCCATGATTTTGCACTACCTGCTCACCCTGCAACACCCACTTGAGGAAGGCTGAAGAACGTACCAAGCGGCATAAGAAACAGTCGAAGATTTTTTTTCTGGTTTGGATCTAAATGGCGCGGCCACTCGTATCAGAGGATAACCGTCTACTAAGTCGGCTAGCTAATTCCGTTCGCAGACGCCTGCTCAGGCACATTTGTTTTTATTCAACACCCACAGAGCCCATCTGTAGTTTATAATGCAAGCATGCTGAGCTGACCTTAGTTATAATTTCTGAGCGAGTACGCGTTATCTAGCGTGATCAACAGTACGCTCAAACCTTTGGAAAGTGCCTTAAAATAATACCACGGTTTGACCTAAACTTTGTCAGTTAAACTGTGTAGACGGAACCCTTGGAAGCCGTCGAGGGTTGAGCTAGCGCGAAGTCACAAGTCATCGTGACCGAGGCGTTTTGTTTTGGATAACCCGTGAAATACCGAGTTGTTCTTTGTTGGCTTTCAGTAAACAATTTGGCCTACGTAAAAATAAAATAAAATAAAATAAAATAAAAAAAAGATTTAGTTGAAGCTTTGCCATTGAGATACACCAAAGGTTAATGGCTGTCTGTTTTGTGAGATTCTTTTGTTTATTTATTTACTTACTTATTTAAGTGATGGGCGGGAGGATTTACCTTTTTTTTTCTTTAAGACAGGGAGAGCCTGACAGGGCGAATAGAAATAAAACGCAGGCTCTGGTCCATATCAAAAAATCGTTGGCCAGTTGAGGCGAGAAAAGAAAGGAGTCGCTTTCTAACGTCTTCAGTTTTTCCTCACTCTAAACTCCTGCATCGTATCTCATTGATTCTGTCTGCCAACAAACAGAGTTATCTACAAAAGAATTTCACCATTGATTGGTTTATAGTTTGCAACATTTATCTCCCTTCACTAAACCTGCAGAAAAGTCGTACACTTTGGAACAGATAACGGATGACTAGTCATATCTGTGCTAAGCATTCGACAAATGTCTGGTTCGCCATCTTATTTCACGTTTTTAATGGTACCCCCCCCACACACGCGCACGAGCGCATGCGCACAAAGACACACCACAAAATAAATGAAGAAGCAGAAGAAAAAATAAATACAGGTGGAAAGAAGAAAGAAAAGAGTGGGAAAGAAAGTCTGAAGAAACTAAAGCATAATGAAGGATAAAAGGAAGAATGAACGAAAAATTAAAAAAGAAAAAGAAACATAAGAAAAGAATAGAAAAAGAAAACAAAACAGATAGACGAATAAAGTGAAAGAAAATTAACAAAGTAAAAACGAAAAAGAAGAAAACTGACAGGAAGAAGAAAAAGTAAAATAAGAGAAAATAACTGAAGAAGGAAGGAAGAGAAGAATGAAAAATAAATGCTAAGAAAAAAAACAAACAAGAGAAGGAAAGAGAAAGAAAGTAAAATAAAAGAATAAATAAAGAATGAAAGAAAACAATAAAGAAAAATAAATAGGAAAAAGGAAAAATAAAAGGAAATTTAAAAAAGAAAATGAGAAAAAAAAGTAAAAACCACAAATAAAAAAAAGGAAATATTGGAAAAAGAAAAAAAATGAGAGAGATAAGAGGAAAAAGTGAAGAAGAAGAAAGAAATGAAATGAAAAAAAATCAAATGAACAAATGAAATAAAATGAACTAATGTAGAAAAAAATGAATGAAAAATGAAAGAAATGACAAAAAAGGGAAGAAGAAAAGAAATAAAATGAAAGAAAAAAATGAATAAATGAAGACGAAAAAGGAAAGAAAAATGAATGAAATATGACGAAAACGGAAAAGAAAAAAGAAGAAAAAAGAAATAAAAAGAAAGAAAGAAATGAAGAAAGGAAGAAGAAAAATGAAAAAAACAAGACGTAAAAGTAAATAAAAAAGAAATAAAATGAAATAAATAAATGAAAAATTACACAGAAAGAAAATTGTAAGAAATAAGCCCGACAAATGAAGAAAAGGGGAAGAAAACAAAGGAAATGCATGCGAAAAAGAAAATGAAGAAAAGAAAAAAAGAAATGAAAGAATAAAATTAAGAAAAATAAAAGGAAGAAAGGACAAATAATTAAGAAGAAAGAAGAAAAGAAAAGAATGAATGAAAATAAGAAAACAGAAAAGAAAAAAATAAGCGAAAAAGAAAGAAAAAGAAAATGAAGTAAAGAAAAAAAAGAAATGAAAGAATAAAATTAAAAAAAGAAAGAAAAAGAAAATGAAGAATAAAAAAGGAAATAAAAATAACGTCAGAGAAAAAAGTTTTATTTTTTTATTTATTTTCTCAATTTTTCGCACGTTATTTAAAGCCAGAAGTTATCTTTAGATAGCAAGAATATTTTTGGAGATAATAAATATTTACTGATCCAAGTCCTACTAATTAATCCATAGCTGGGAAAAGAAGAGGAGGATTCACATCCTTTCTAAGGATGTTTGCGCTTAAGTAAATATTACGAACCCGGCACTGCGATTTCCAATTCCGAAGCGTTATCCATTGTACCCCCTGTACATCCAAACTTACAGCGCCTGCTATTCTCAAGCGGACGTCCATCTAGGTACTGATGAGGCTCGACGTTGCTTAACTTTGTTGATAGTACTGAAACCTGATTTAAGCCATAACAGCAGTTCAGCCAATATTACAGCATCCGATATTCTCAAGCGGTCATCCATCTAGATACTGACCTGGTTCGACCTTGCTTACCTTCTGTGATCGCACGAGAACCGGTTATTCAACGTGATATGACTGTAAGCCATACAAACAGCAAAAGGAATCTTCCGAAATGGAATAGGAACTCGGCGTTATCCGTTACACCATACGCACATCCAAGCTTACAACAGCTGGTATTCCCAAGTGGTCACCCATTTGGATGCTGAGAAAGTTAGACGTTGCTTAACTTCGCTGATCGTACGGAAATCGAGATTTTAACGTGATATGGTCGCAAGTGGAATAAAATAATAGGGTAGAACTATCGTTCTAGACTTGATAGGGCAACTAGTTTTGAATTTAAAATCTTGAAGCAAGCAACTGGAACCCAATCTACGATCTTTTCCAGTAACAGAGCTTCATTGTTTATAGATATTATAACAAAATGAAGTTAGGAGAGCCATTATTACCAATCTTCTATCTATATATAAAATTCTGTGACTACCGTTAGTCCACCCGTCCGTCTCTTCGTCCTTTCCACCCACTAAGACATACATTAACTAATCGAAACCAGATTTTGGGAAAAAGTGTAGGCAGGTAAGTGGCCACACAGTACAACTGGTTTTACTAGGGTGAGTCATATATACTGTTCGATACTGTTCGATAAAAGTGACTCACCTGATTTTTTTTACTTAAAAATTTTTTTCGCCTATTGTTTTTGAGGTCAAACTAATTTTTAATCTTACTAATATAAAGACCCCTTCTCGACCACCTAGTAAAAAAGTTTACTCACCCTAATGTATTCTATTGATAATTATAATTTTGGATATAAATGAGATTTAGGGAAAAAAACTCTCTGCCAAAAAAGTGACTCACTTATTTCCTGCAACTAGTAATCAATAGAAACATAACCGAACAGCTTTAAATAAAGAATAATAGAGGTATAATTTATTTATAATAGGTAATATAGTTCGAACTATTTAATAATCTTTGGGTCCTCATTCATTTTGAAAAACATTTTTAACCCTTTTTGGAATTGGCTTGATTAGGGTCTGGCAAATCTCATCTCCAAGCATTGAATTCCATTCGGATATGAAATTCACAATCAAATCCTCTTTGTTGCTCAACTGCTTTCTCGAGAGCCTGTACTTTATAATGCTCCATAAGTTTTCTATGGTGTTGAGGTCAGGAGATTGGGGCGGCCATGTCATAACACTCACCTGCTTCTCATCAACGTATTCCTTCATCAAAGTATTTGACAAAAATGAGAATATCATCTACATATCTTAGGTAAATTGAGTCTTTTGTGGTATAAATACATTATTTTCTAGGTTAGTCATGTAGAAGTTGCTAAATGTTGGTCCCAGAATGGAACCCATAGAAACACCATCGTAGTGTACGCATATGTTATTTTGATAGTCATAGAAGAGTACTTCTTTGGCTTATATCAAGATTAATTTTCGTAAAATATTAGGACTAATTTTTAATGGAGGGAGAGATGGATTGTTGTAAATATTCTTCATGATTATAACGATTGTTTACTCTAACTGGTACGTTGGTGAATAGACTTTCATTGTCAAGTGAGGCTATGGTTTCGTTATTAAAAAGACTCCGTACTTCAGTTCACATACGAACTTAGCAACGACAATAAAATCCCGTTTCTTGATGTATCGATAGATACCAACAACAATACATTTACTACTGCCCTATATATATATATATATATATATATATATATATATATATATATATATATATATATATATAAATAATATTACAAAATAGCAATTACACGGAACTTAATAAACCGTGCAAAAGCGAATTTTTCAACAAAACAAATTTTCTATACGGAATTAAAAATATTAAACAAACCCTCATTAATATTGACTTTCCTAATTACATTGTTGATGAACTAATTAGACGAGGTATTAGAAATATAAACATAAGTCAAAAATAGCATAATACTTCCTCAAATAACTCTAAGCATATCAAACTACTATACCGTAATCAAATGCATTCTAATTATAAACAGGATGACAAAATTCTAAAAAGTCTAATAAACATAAGATTAATTATATACTATACTAAACTTAATACAACCAACTTAGTCATTCATAACAACTCTTCTTCATCAACTGGCGTTTTACAGAAGCCCAACATCATATATCAATTTAAATGTCCCTTGGGAGATTGTATCTCTGACAAAAGTGTTAATAATATGTAAGTATTACTACAGCGACCATGACGAGAAGGCTTACGTCTCACTTAAACGATCATAGTTCAATCTCAGAGCATTTAAAGGAACATTCAAGACATGTTTAGACAGATATTAGTCGAAAATACAACAGAACTCCACCAAGATAATAATAAAAGTTCTAGAAGCTCTTTATGTAAGAGAATTGCGACCAAAAAATAAAGTTAACTACTAGTATAGCAACAAAGTTATTAAATGTTTAGCAGGACATTTGAAAAAAAAAAAGAAAAATTATAATTGTTAAAAACTACAATTAAAAAAAAATATTTTAAGTCCATAAACACATACTCTCAAAAAATCACATATTACTTTCCTTGAATAACGGGTAAATATTTTGAATTTTGCGGTGTTCATACACACATATCTACAGACATTCAACCGGGCGAGATTGAAAATAATTGGGAAAATAAAAATTATTTGAAAGAATATTTTGGAAGTTTTCTTGATCAATTTTCTACAGCGACCCAAAAATTAATCCGCGGACTTGAGAGGATTAAAACTAAAATAAATAGACGTAATACGTCAACATTATTTAACCAAACATGCTTGAATGAAATATGCTGCTTATATATATATATATATATATATATATATATATATATATATATATAGCATTGTCGTCAGAGAGTTCAACACCGAATGACGATATATGTTAGTCACTGAGGTATTATGGGTAATAAATTCATGTTGTTCCTATTCAATAGGCGTTAGAATAACGCACACAAAAACCGAAAATAACTGACCCCATTACTTATAATGCCCATTTGACTAACATGTATAATTAGTCGAGCTGCTATCCCACGCACATGTCAACGAGGTTGCATTTTAGCATGAAAGTCCACAATGTGTGTACATTTTTCTCTCTATATATATCTTACTTATTATAAAACGCAGATTGTGTGTGTGTGTGTGTGTGTGTGTGTGTGTACGTTTATATATTGGATAGGATTTCTTACATTTTTCAACCGATTTCAACAAAACTTCACAGGACTACATAAAATTACCTTGTGGTGGTTCTAACAGCGCCAAAAATGGGAAAAAATACAATTGTTTTTGCACAAAATCAATTAGAAAACACGATTAAGAGACATCGTGAGAATGAAAGGGGGACAACTCACATCGGGTTGTTTGTGTGTGTGGGTTCCTTTAAATATGGGATCGAATTTCCTACATTTTTCAGTCGATAAAACAAAAATTCACTTTTTTTTTTTGGCAGGTAGTGTTTCTTATTCTCTTGCCCACTTTTTTCTTTATTTTTAACATTGAGAATGCTTTAAAAATTTCTATTTACAAGACAATTGTTTATAATAAAATTCTATTCAATCGGGAGACTCATAACGATTGAAAACAATGTTTTTGTTTGAGTTTGGGTTTGACCAATTCGTAAAAAAAAACAAAAAAAACTAATTAAGACATGCGTGTCCGTCAACCTTAAACAATAATCTAACGATCTCTACTGATTGTACGAATCCAAACATCGGATAATTCTTTATCTTTAGGGAAAGATAATGAAATCTAAACATACACAAGTCCTCCTAACTAAAAATAATAACCGGAAACTATTTTAGTTTAAATACACATGGTGTCCAATTTTTTTTACTGTATTCAATATGTAAAAATCATAAATTGTAAAAGATTATTATTACAGAAAGGCTACTAAATGAATAAGATTTGTTAGATCATAATTAATAAACCCAAATAAAGTTAATATTTTTTTGTATTAGAAACAACGAGTGGAAAATATATTCAAATCAGAATTCTAATTATGAATCACCACAAGCAAAATATGCAATTTCTTTCACTGTATTCAATAAGTAAAAATCATAAATTGTAAAACTAAAAGATTACAAAAAGGCTACCTACATTTTTCAACCAATTTCAACAAAACTTTCTGTTTCTTATTGTCTTGCACACTTTTTTCTTTATTTTTACATTGAGAATGTTTTAAAAATGCCATTTACAAGACAATTGTTTATAATAAAATTCTATTCAATCGGTAGAGACTCATAACGATTGAAAACAATGTTTTTGTTTGAGTTTGGGTTTGACCAATTCGTAAAAAGACATGCGTGTCCGTCAACCTTAAACAATAATCTTTGTCAATTTTATTTTTCAGTCTTTATGATGGTGGATACTTGATCTATCTCTTACTGTTATATCCCCGGGCAATGCTGGGCTCTACTGCTAGTATTGGATAAAGTAGAAAGGATTTTTAACGACAATGCCTTTCATCATCGTGCGTGAGGTTTTGCGTCGTCAAATCGGACGACAAAACTGTGGATATGGGTAATTGGCATTCAGATTCAACGACGATAAAATGATTTTTCATTAGAACAGTTGGTGTCTGTTAGATTTCAAATGAGTCCAATCCGAGTTTTTTTCTCTCTTAGCTGGAATACAGTATTGTGCTACCAATGCTTTTCCTATGATCGGTGGTGATATCAAGTATAGTTTCTGGTCTTACGTCTATACTCGAGAATTGTGAGATCAGCACACTTTCAATGCGTTTTCTTTTTAGTGAATTCTTTTCTCTCTTGATCAGTCTGGAACTTGTTAAGTCGAAGTTTAGGTCGGGTGTATTACGGTGAACCACCAGTGCTTTTAAAGTGTAGTTATGCAGCATATCTCTGCGATACTCACTTAGTGGTTTCTTTGAGATTTCTAGACGTTTCACCGATGTATTTTTGCACAATATATTTTGTATATTCTTATAAATGTCCTTTTGTTGTTACCATCTCGCTTGGTGTTAACTTTGCAAGTGTTTTCAATATATTTCTCTTTCAAAATTTAGGGACCATAAATTCTAAGAGCTCTTAGAATATGGAGTCCCCAATATCTGAAAGAGAAGCAT